CGAATGAAAAGTGTTTTCATTGTTGCTCTAACCTTGATTTACAAATGTTTACTCGTGACGCCTCACAGTGTTTTGGGAAACCCAACCCTCCTCAAAAATTTGAATTTGCCTGAGTGAATTGAGTGATATCCTGCTGAGTGAGCCCAGTGAACCAACCAATTAATGCAGTTGCTACAGCAGTCTGTGATGACGTTCCATTCGTTCTCGAAGAACTTCTTATGTATAGGTGTGGTTGTGGATGATGAATGGATTCGTCACTGCATATTAGAAAACAGTCACAGTCAGACAGCCGTAGTACAGCATAGTGCAGTTGGCCGTGGAGGGGCATTTTGCTCGTTCCCATGGATGTGGAGACTAGCAAGCTTTTCGAAAAACCCACGACCCAGCAAAGCTTTGTTACCCAGCGATTCCGCGGAGATCGATTCACGAAATCTTGTGAGTCTGATAAAGCCAACAAAGCCACACAAAAGAAGCACACACCATTCAGAGCATGCCCTGCCGTTGGGTCAAAATTCTCAAAGTACGACCCCTCTCCCCTCTCCGAAACTTCCTCCTCTGATACGACTCCTTTCCCCATCTCCCGTCATACCTAGAATCTTCCTGAACTTTCCCAGCTTACTAGAATTTTATTTCTACGACGTGTACTGATACCATTTCATAAGACTGCTTTCATACTTTGCGTCAGCGTCTACCAGCGTTCACCAGCGACCACTAGCGGCAGCGTCAGCGACTAGGAAAGTATATATCGATCTAGCGTCTGCCAGCGTCTACCAGCGTCCACCAGCGTTCACCAGCGACCGGGAGTAGAGAGTATGGGGAAGTAGGAGGGTAGCAAACAGCTGGATTAGGCGTCGTGAAATTGCGGCGTGTGCAACCGCACCGCACAACTGCTAAAGCACAGAATTATGCAATTTAATGTACGGTGTGATGTAGTTGTACGGTGCAGTTGCACCGCAGTTACACGACGCCTAACTCAGCTGTTTGCTACCCTCTTCGGTGCGCTGGCAGACGCTAGATCGATATCTATACTTTTCTAGTTGCTGACGCTGCCGAACGCTCGGAACGCTAGTGGTCGCTGGTGGACGCTGGTGGACGGTGCCGCAAAGTATTACGCAGCCTAGGTTTATGGGTCTAAGCAAGGCGAGAAAAGTGAAGACTAGCGAAGTAGCGACTCGCCGAAGCCCTCAACGCTGGCGGCAAGCACACTACTTCCGTTCAGAATCGTGGTGCTCTACAGAATACAATGCGGCCTACGGTCTTTTTCGCTGCTAATGCATGTCAAGTGGAGGGGGTGAGTTTGGCGCGACACCACCCTATTTCTTCTTTTTTCTTCTTTCGAGAAGCGAGAAGGCCGTATCCTATCGTCTGTATCAGTGACGTTCCACCAACTGTTTTCACTTAAGTGCTTTAACAACTGGTGGAGAACGGACTGGCGGCGCGCCAAACCCTTGTTCGCTACGCCCCGTCAGCCGTAGCGAACAAGACTGTATGCAATGACCTACGGGGTCAGTCGGTCCAAGTCAGTATTTTCCATCCTCCTGGACGAATTTGGAACCGATTCACCCGATAAGAAAAGAAGGCCATGTCAACCTGGGCAAGAGCCGATCTGGAATTTGATTCTCTGACCGCACGCATAGCACCACCGCCTCATTTTGGGCTAGAAGGAATTATGAAAGCTTTACGGCCGGGTTGGTGTGGTACTAGAGCCGGCTATATGGTTAAGAGTTTTCTGCAGTAATTGCCGTTCAAAAAGAGAAAAATGAATCAGAAGAAAAACAGGCTAACCTTCCACAGATTCCACACTGCCATCGTCAAGCTGCCCATCGGCTTCAAGAAGCTTAAGCCGTTGGAGCTGTTTGTCTCGTAAGAACCGAAGAATCTCAATCAGTCCATAAATGTTGAGGAATAGGAAGACTATGGTAACTCCAATGATAAGAGTCGCATTCAGATGTTTCATAATAGTTAGAGGTTATGCCGTATGTTGGGCATATCTGAAATAAATGTTGGAGTTAATTGACGCGAAAACTTCTATAAAGAGTTGATCTAGCAATAGAGTCGTTCGCAAGTACGAAAAGGGTGCTACACATGTGTGTTTTGTGGATCCGAAACTGAAATTGACTGTAGCGTCGGTATCCATAGCGGCATTCAATCAGAAGCGAAAGAGCCTCATCGCCGATGGAACGATTTCTTTGTTGTTGTTTGGACAATCTATTTCGAACGCACAGCTGGCCCAGTTTGAATCTCCTATTCTGTTTTCTTTCGGAAAGCCCTCTTTAAACGTGGAACATGTTCAAAGGGCCATGGCCGCAACTGTAGGGTTCAGCGAACAAGCTGACAAAACATTTTTGACAGCTCTCATACAGAGCTTTACTGTAAAGTTGTTTGTAGCCCAGCCTACCAGATGCTATTCAACTATTATAACAATCTGGAAATCTCTTTTTCTGCAGAAACTTTGACTATAGGGATTGGTCAGTGCCTCGGTCTAGAATGTGACATTCGTCTGCAGGGTCCGCACGTGCCATCCAACCTTTCCAAAGAAGACGCTATAAGTTTGCACGTTAGTACTATTTCACTTTCAGGTCACAATAGTGTATTTTTGGATCAGAGTGGCGGCGTTCACAACCTGGCCTTGGGAAGACGAAGAGGAAATGGAGGAGGCATGTGGCGATACTAGTGGCACTTGTCTTGTGTTCTGGTAGGAGACTGCTCACCCCGGGCTCAACCTTTGCATAGCATCAAACGCTTAAAGACAACTCGCGATTGTATAGGTTGGAAGGAAAGTCCTGTCAGTGTTTTTTGAAAAGCTTACAGTTTTTGATTCTCGATGCTCGTACATGACGTAACATGCTATGCTTGTAGACATTCCTGAAAGAGCGTGCCCAAAGGCGCGACCTCTCCCTGGTTTTATATACAATTCAGCTTTCACCAGAGTATTTCGGGAACGCGCTCATCTCTAAGTAGCCCACGCGGCACTGGAGCCACGCTGTCACGTAACATCAACACTGCATTGCCAGAGGAAATTCACTACAATCAAGACTGTCTACTTTGTTCGTCGCTCGAGACACGATCTTCGAAGACGAACCTCGGTGGGGACGTCCCAAGACGCGGAAGACTCCGCCGTTCTCGAAGTTGTCAAGGTGGATCCGGGAGGCCACCACCCGCAGTCTTGCGACAAGACTCGATGTACCTAACTGACAGTCGTCAACCGCCTGTAAGCCCTTGACTACCGAAAAGTACTGGCTCGATGGATCACTCATACCTTGACCGATGGCACGCTGTGCACCCGGGTACCCCTTGGTCAGTCTCCCCTTCTCCGCTTTCGTCGAAAGGGTTTCTAGGAGACTGCTTAGTGGAGATGGGAGATGGGTCCTCTGCAATTTCAATCCACACAGTACCGTGTGTCTCTTTCAAGGAGAAGATCCATTCTAGCAGTCCAAACCGGGCATGTATTCCGAGAAGGTTCTCCTGTGCTGCTCCTGGGACGCGAGGGGGATGCTGCAGAACGAGCTGCCTGTAAGAACAGACGGTCACCGCTACCATTTGTGTCGCTCAGCTTCTGAAACCGGTGGAAATTGTTGGAGAAAAATGACCGAGACTAGCTTCGGGGCACCTCATTCGTAGAGACCCCGTACCTACTATGTAGACCTACCAAATATTCGAGGAGCAAGGCAGGGAGACCAGTCCCCGCGTATCGAATTCTCCTGACGTAGTCCCCTAAGACTGCTACCTGCTCCGCCTCCTTAAGGCTTTCTTAGCTGAGAAAACTTTCAGCAACTTTGACGACATCAATCGAGAGGTCACTGACTTTCTCGACTCGCAGTCTCCTCAGTTCTGGGAGGAGGGGATTGCTTACCTGCCCATCAGGTGAAGCACTGCAGCGGCTAACAATGACGAGCATATAGTTGACCGATTCCCATTGTACGCTGAGTTAGAAAATAAAAAAAGAAAAAAGTCACAATCACACTAGTGGCCTAGGGACTGTTCCTTCCAACCTATATATTGCGGATAGTGGAATTCTATTACAAACCTATAGTCGCTAAATGACTCTCCGGAGAGGAAAAGAGGGAAAAAAATAGAGAACCTAGGTAAGGAGGGAATTGGCAGCCTGGCGTAGAGTGCCCAGTGCTGCCTATAGCTGAGAAAAAAAAATCCGAAAAACAGTGGGTAAAAACTGCTTTCGGGACAGAAATTGCCTTCGAGTTTCTGTGGGCGGAACAACTAGGAACGCGTCAGAACCACCACTCATGAGCGCCATAGCGCCTTTCTCTCACTGTAAAACCGTGAAAGAAGGATAATCGAAGCAGAATGGGGGCCAGACTACTTGTATAAGGGGAGACGTCTTCGGATTACTCGAGTGCGGGGACTTCTTTAACTTAATGTCATATTCCAGTTCGAGACGCTGGGTCCAGGGCACGCCATCGTTGTGATGATCACATATAGGGGTCGTATTTGATCGCGAGGGAGGGGGGGGCTAGCATTTGGTCTGAGAAAATTTTTTTGATAGTTGATTTCTCTTGTTTCACGGACGCTATAAAGGGAGGGGTCGTATTTGGTCGTTGTTGGAGAGAGGGACTGCCAAAGATCTATACAACTACTATTTCCGATAGTTGAAAATGATAGTTAAATCCTGACGACCTCCCCCCCCCCCGCTCGACAGCAA